CCTTCTTTGGATACTTATATAAAAAATTATACTCATCTCGAAGAACTTATCTCTGCTTCTCATTAATTTACTCCATCTTTAATACTTCTAAGCTCTACATGTAAACTTAGGCCAACTGCCTAAATTCTTTCAGTCTCACTTCCCTCATATGTAAAAGAAGTAATACTTTTCCATATCACCTAGAGTCATTATCAGCATTATGCACTTGGCAAAGAAAGAGTACTCAATAAGTAGCAAATATTGTTATGGCCAAAGTAGTGAATGACATAATCGTTGATGTCTATAAAACTGAACATTTTTATTATTTGTTTTACTTAAAATCCTCTTTTAGATGCATTTGTGGAAAACAACTCATGATATTTATAATATGCAAAGAGCTTTTAAAGCTTTTTCTTAATTAAAAAGGTAATGCTATAAGCCCATATACAGATGGGTTTTTAAAAAATTTTGTTATGACATGTTTATCTTACTTCTCTCTTTGTTTCATAAACAAAATGATTATTTATTTATTTTTTAATTTATGGAAAAAAGAAAATTTCATAGCATAGTAATAGGAGAATAACAATAGTCAAAGCATTACATGTTGTAATCTCTAAAATAGTTACTCAGAGTACAAGATATCGGAATTAAAAAATTCCCTAACCATTGATTGTACCAGTTCTCACTGGAACAAGGAAATGCATTTCTTCAAATGGAAATACCCCTAATTTTCAATCAGCCCTTAGCATGACACAGTGTTTGCAGTTTTCAGTGACTTTCGAGTCATATAATGAGCTCAGCTCATTTTGGGGATGGGCGTTTAGATTTCGCAAACTTAACCTCAGCTCCAGGAAATGATTTGAATCATAGCTCAGTCCTCTGCAGATTGTGATAAGGATTGCATTATCTACATTTGAACATCCTGTGTGTAAAACGGGAGCTCACACACAGAATGGTCCTCTTCCACTTGCACTGAAAGCAGAACCCAGCTTTCTCACAGCCAGAGGGCTGCACTGGTGCTCTGCTTGGAGGTCATCTTGCTTTTAAAGTTATGGAGCTTACTTGAGACTGTTAAAAAAGCTCAAGAATTATCAAAGGTACATCACTGCTATTGTTAGAGAAGTTTATAGTGTAATAAAATCTAATAAATAAAATCAGTAAAGGAGCCTAGATTATTTTGTTAAAATCTAGTAGATCCTAGTGTAAAAAAATAAACCTGTATATTGAGTTTTCAGAGAAAAGGGATGGGCTGAGAGATGAGAGTCAGGCTCAAAGAGGCAAATTAGAAAGAAAATCAAAGTAAGCAAAGGCAAAACGTAGCAAAATCTCAGCTTCAGAACAAGGAATAAGCAAAAAAATGGATATGTTTGAGTATGTGTACACATGCACTAGCATTTTTACATGTGCGGGTGCTACATAATACACTCAGGGGAAAATACTCAGCTTGTAAAAGGAATTCATAGCAACACCAGTTTCTATGCCCCAAGTTAACTTGATTAGTATCAGAAGGAAACCGAATGTTTAAACGGTCCTTCGCACATCTGCTAGTTCCATAATGTCTGTGTGACTGTCATAAATTAAGAGTAGGTAAGGGCACAGTGCCAATTGTCAAAACAAATAGCAATTCTGATTCCAAGTTTTACTTTATTTTCCTTGAGAGCAGTGAAAGCTGTCTGTCCTCACCGTGGTACCGGCGTGGCATGGCCCACTCACTTGGACTTTGGACTCAGCTCTGCCCACTGGTAGGATGGGGCAAAATGACATGAGGAAACCTTTCTCCTCAAATGCCCCTGTCCTCAGAAAGAGAAAATGAGCACTTCATACTAAGTTAACGTGGGTAGAGACACTAAACAAATGTGAGCGCTGTTAATGAGGAGGGGCTGGCACTCAGGCACACAGCCAGCATTGTGTGTGGCTGCCTGCTCTGCTTAGAAATCTTCTTCATTGACAACTCCGTGCAGCCTGTTTTGTACTTTCTGCACCTCACATAGTCCCAGTCCACAGTGAATTAGGTTATGCTCATGGCTTGAGCTCTTCTGTTTATATAAAGAACCCAATTGAGCTCATCACCAGATTCATTTTCTTTCCTTCCTGCGGCTCCTTTCCAAGTGGTTCGGCTCCCCCAAGCCAGGTAGGTGCTCTCTATCATCCCCCTGGGTGCTGGGGAAGCACCTACCAGCTGGTGGGTAGAGATGGACTAAAGGCAAGACTCTGGACCTAAGCTTACTGTCACTTCTTATCAGAAAAACTCCACACTAACCTGGTCAGTAAAGGAGTGCAGTCCTGTCAGCCAATAACCCCTGTCTGGTCTCTTGGGGAGACTACAAGCAGGCCAAAGTGCCTTTAGAAATGCCTGGGCTCCTGGGTCTTGATACCGGCCTAGCCTCAGGCTCTCACTATAAACTGCTCACAGATTCGTCTTTTAACAAGGTCTCAAATGCTTATAGAGCAACCTGGGGAACAAAAGGAGAATGGCTCCCTCTTACTTTCCCAAGACTCACTCTGACACATTCCTGTCAAGACTTTGAACTTTGAAGTCTTACCAAACTTTCGGTCAGAAATTGGCAAGTAATTGAATTTCCTTACGGCTATGATGTCGCTTAGCCTAACATTTCACCAAACACTGTCAGGAGCAAATTTTTTGGAGTAGGACTTTCATTCAGTCATCCAACAAATAATTATGATCCTTTAATTACAGCCAGATAACACTGGGAATCTGGGTGACACATCTGCCAGTAAAACAATGTCCCTGTACTCAGAGACAAGGATAGAAGACAGCTACTGAGCATACGAACAAAAATCATTTCAAATAGTAACAACTTGGAGATAGAAGATAAATCTGCATGCAAGGCTGGTGAGTAACCAAGAAGTGTGATGAAATGTTGTGTATAGATACGTATGCTCTGCAAGGTCTATGAGGAGCAGGTATCTGAGCTGAGACTAAAAGATGAGAACCAGCTGCCCCATAAAGATCTTGGGGAAGGGAGGATCCCAGACAGGGGAGGAGGACATGCAGGAGCTTTAAAGCAAAAATAAGCTTGGTGTGCTCAAGAAACATAAAAGACAAAGTTTAGGGAACACAAGACACAAGGAGAAAGGGTAGATGATATGGCATGGAAGGCTGGCATTTGATCGTGAAGGATTTTTAATTATTAAAATGTAAATATAAATTTAAATATATAATATAAAGTTCCTTTAAGGAACTTTAAATTATTCTAAATAAAATGAAAACTACAAAAGGGTTTATTTTGGGGATTCAGGCACAGCAGTCATAGAGAGGAGAGTCAAATAAGGGCAGGCAGGAGGGAAGCAGTAGGTTGAGCAACTATTGCAGTGATACCTAGAGGGAAGAGCCAGTGTTGGGTCCCTGTAGGATGGGGGCAGGAGAGAGGGCAGAGGAGGGGGCAGACATCATACATATTTTAATGATGAATCAACAGAACTGGCTTTTGGATGAGATAGAAGAGGATAAAAGGTCAAGGCTCTTTGGTCTTATTAGCCAGTACAGAAAGTTGAATATCTGTATTCTCCCAGTTACGTTTAGTATGTCAGTTAGGCATTAAAGTAGAGATGTTAGGACCAGGGACTTAGCTTTGTGGTATAAGCACCTGCCGGGAAAAAGCAAGATCGTGAGTTCGATCCCTTGTACCTAAATAAATAAATATTAAAAAAAATAATTTGGAGATATTGAGTGGATTATTTGCAGTGAGTGTCTACAGGAAAGAATCAGGGCTGGATATTTAAAATTGTGGGCTATCAATAACTCTGTCTGCTAAATTCCAAGGTCAAAACACTGTCTTTCTAGCCTTTTTATTATGTTATGGGTATCAAAGCAAAATTTGATGGTGGACAGAGAGATAAAACTCTTTCTCAAATTCTAAAATGTTACAGTAATTTCTAAACTTTGGGTTTTCCACCAGCCACTTTTATCCTTTCAGATTACTGACAACTCTCTCCAACATAGTCTTATTACATTATTAAATGTCCATCTTTAGCCTGATCACTTCCAATTAAATCCACCTCATGATTTATCTCCTCCCTGATGGCTTCCAAAATGTCCTGCTCTTGGACAAGACAATTTCACTTGTTTCCTCATTTTGCAGACTGGCATGCTCCAACATGCAAACATATTAGATTTAAAGTATTTAATTTCAATTGTTTGAAACATTAAACATAAACTCACATACAAAAAATTCATATTATATCTCATATTTGTGAAGCCAAGAGCAGCCCACTTAGTCACTGGGAAGTGTTCCAGACGGTGGGAATCAGACACTGAAAATGCAGAGTGAGTGTGACAGTTTGGAACCTTCTGCTGACAGGGGGATAAGGTTCCATTTACAACACCCCTATTGCTTTATTTGGACAGCAACCTGGGCACAGAAGACACTCTAGATCTTCTAAATACAGTGTTTAGAATCATCTAATTTGCCTGAGCTCATTTGCATTACCATAATGGGAAATAAAACCTGTGGTTTATAAATGTAACCCTTACAGAGCATTACAAGACTGGGAAGCACTCTGGGGCAAAGATAAAAGCTGGTAAATACACGTGGGAAAGGCACCTTTGTGAATTTTGTGTAGACGCTTGTGAGGCCCCATTCCTCTGTAGCATGGGGACTTCTAACTCGGACTGAAGCAAGTGGACAAAGCCTTGTTCAGGAGACAGTTTAAGCAGCAAGTCTATCGGCTAACAATGACCTTAAAATAGAATAAAACTGAAGCCAATATCTATCATCTGTTATCTAGTTAGCCCTCAAACATTGATTTAAACTGGTATTATAAATTTGCTATGGAATATTAGAGAAAATTTATTGAACAAGTTTTTGTCTTTAAAGGGACCATTATATTCCATTGGTTATAAACATGTGGTTGTTAAATGTCAAAGAATGATCCTTCATTTAGAAATATTTGGGAGCTATTAATAGTATAATCATGTAACCCATTAAGTAAGCAATTGATGTCAAAATTAAATTTATATACTATTATTATTGAAATTATAAAGAAGAGAGTATTCTTACCAGTTGCCTTTTGGATTTATAAACTGCTGCACTGAATAGCCAAACTGTTCACTTGAAGGACCGGAAAATATTTTTGCTTCTGAGAGACCAACATTGTATGCCAAACAACAATTTAAAAAACCTATTAGGAAAAATGAAAACATAATCCATATTTACAATTTGCAAATATATATGTATAATATAATTGTTGAAGGCCAATTAAAAACCTTTTTTGGCCTGACAATTATTGCCGTCAGTATTTAACAAGGATTAAAAGCAACTGCATCTAAGGTATTTATTTGGGATCCTGGAATTAGCTAAGCACTGCTAATTCATAAAAATCTATCTGCCATAGAAGATGGGTTACTACTATTATCTTTGTTTTGCACAGGTTCTAGGAGGTTAGTGGAGAGTATTATACAGAAGGTAGGATTTGAACACATGAGTGGTCAAGATTCTGAACCCTCAAATGACTGCACCAACTCTAAGGATTCTTAAGTAACTTGAGTTCTGCTTTTCCTCACTAACACACAAGACTCTAAGGCACCCAAGTTCTGTTTCCTCTAGATTCCACTGTAGATCTTGACATGGTTTTATATGAAGTTTACAATGAAAAAAGCAGTGATGGTGATATCAAAGGAGGTAGAAAGCATAGCTGTTTGAAAATTACATTATTTTCTTTCAAAAGAGATTCTTTTGGAGGATAAAAACGTAAGGAAAGGTATCATATAATTTTTATTCCAAGGTAACTGTCAACAGTAGTTTTTCTTTCTGATGCTTCTTTGTAAATTGTCAAAAAAAAAAAAAAAGATAATCATTAGAAAAAATATAACAAAGACCAAAGAAGATAATGCTTTGGTAGACTTTTTGAAAATGCTTGTTTCTGATGAAAAAGGAAAAAGCAGAAGGAGTAAGGCTGTCCATACTTCCTCCTTGACACAGATAGCATTAAGATAACTCGCTGCATTCTATAGGAAAGTTTTATGGCTTCCCTTACAGATGCAAATATTCTACCGGTTGTGTAGGATATGTATTTATCTTGGCAGACTCTGAAGCCAGTGACTCTTTAGGAATGTTCCACCTTCGTGGTAGCACTGGAAGCACATAGAACTTCAGAAGTCTATTGTTCTAGGCACCGCAGGCCCTGTTAGTCGTTGTGCCCTCCTGCTTCTAAGGACAAACGCTGAAGAGTGCTCCACAGGATACATGGAGTCAACCATGAAGCTTTAGCGGCTTAAAGTAGGCAACAATGACTGTCTCAGTGTCAAAATCACGCACCGAGGGATCTTCTCACTAAAGAAAATTCAGCTCATTAGTTCTTAGAATTATGTGTTATCAGGAAGAGAATTACATACATTAAGTTTGAAATACTTTGAAGCAAAATCTTACAGCTGCACTTGCAAATTTCAATGGTAACATCTACTTTTTTACAGGTAGCACTGCTCCTTTATATTTCTGAGGAGGTAAAATGCACAGCAAATTAAATGGAAAACCAGAACTTGCATTCAGAAATCTTGTGTTTCAAGTCAGAACTATTTGAATTTTACCAGTTGTCAAATACACCAGCAAAAGCTGAAAAACATGATGTTAAACTGTTCCCAGTTTTAAAGTATCTAATGCTAAAGTCAACTCTATTTATAATGCACCTTTGACTTACATTATTAAGTGCAGGATAGGTATGGCCCCTGAAAAGACACTCTGTGACTATGGATGGAGACAGTGCAGAGGCAGGAGCCATAGAGTTTGCTCAGCAAAGACAACAAGAAGCCAGCCTATCCGATGGCCCTCTCTCACTCACAAGCAACACTATTTCTAACAAAAATAGAGACTATTGTAGGGATGACAGATGAGATAAGGATCCTTACAGAAGCCAGTCTAGGACTGCCTCTGTATGGCCAGGACAGGCAAGTCATTTTACCTAATCTTCGTCTTGCTTTGTTGAAATAGGTTTTTAACAAAAGAAAACACAAACATTAAAAAAAAAAAAAAAAAAAAAAAAAACACCTTAATGTGGGAAAGAATAGATCTAACACATAAAATGACTTCTATCTCTCACAAATAATTAATCCTTGACAAATAATATAATGGCAAGAAATTGTAGAGTTCATTTCATCATCTAACAGTTAGATTTTAACTTCATTTTAGTCATGCCTCGCTTAATGACACGTGTTTAGAGAAATATAGCATTTGGAAATTTGTTATTCTACAAACGCTAGTGAGTATATTGAAAGAACCTATAATATAGCTATGACATCCCTAGGTGATATAATATTATGGGAACTCCTCCAATTATGTGGTCTATTATTGACCAAATGTCCTTATGAAGTACATATTGACAGTATATGTCTATTGTTTTATATGCCTATATGTTTAATATTATCAATATACATATAAGGAGACTAGAGTTTTATCATCTAGCAGTCTAATTGTATTACATATGCATGTGTACATATGCACAGTTATATGTGTGCGTACATGTAAATATACACATATACACAATATTATTAACAATGTGAAGGTGATCATTTTATCCTTCTGGTTCCAAAACATCGTGGTCATGCTAGTGCACTGAAAATAAAATCCATTTTCTTTTTGACAGTTTCAAAAGTCTTTCAAGATCTGGCGCTTGTGTAGAACTCTGCTCTGTTTACAGAGACCTCCTTGACGCCTCTATCTAGGAGCAGCACTCCTTCCCTATTTTATTATCATAAGTTATCAGCTGACCACATTAATGTTTTTGGTTGGATCATTGAACACAACTGTTTGCAGTCTCTCTGTTTGAATGTTCACTTTGTATGCTTTGATACTGTGACCTGAGCAATAATGTGTAGTCTGTTAACTGGTGATTTCTTACTGTTTTTTTTTTTTTTTTTGTAGTTCTGTATTACTTGTAGCCTTGCACCACTTTGTTTTGTTTTGTTTTTTTCTCTTTTTCCTTTTAAATAAAATTTAAAAAAAATAAGTTATCACCTGACATTATCTCATATATATATAATGTTTGGTCTCTGTTGCCGTCTGCTAAAAGCTAAGTTCCCTGAGAGACTAAGGGCAATGTAAATCAGTTAAATTTCACTTAAAATTAATCTATGTCCCTCACTAATGATCTGATATACAGGGAATACTGAGATGGAAAAGATCGCAGAGACTTATGTATATTCAATTAATGCAAGAGCAATTAAATTGGATACATTACTTTTTGTATCTTTCTCTTTATACTGTAATGAATACTCAGTTTGTATCCCACTACTTGTTCTTGGTAATGTAGGAAATATCTTGCTTCATTTGATATCCAGCTTAAGCCTGTGCAACAGTAAACTTCAGCTATTGTTGCTATTAATTTGCAAATAATAAAACTGGACCTTGTGAAGGTTCAATGTCTTTCTTGATCACTGTTAAACACCTGGTGTCTGACATCTTAGTCTTGGTTCAACATTTCCAGCTTTACTATTGAGCATTCTACTCATGAATAATTTACTCATTCCCTTACATAACATGTCATTCACTCCCATTGCTTTATTCCATGGATTTTAAATTTCTTTTTGCCTGCTATTGAAATCTTTCCCTCAAAACTTTGTTTTATTAGTTAAAACTAGATGATATCACTTCACAGAGTATTTCTCTTAAAAATACATTTATAATAAAATATGCCTAGCTTTCCACATTTGGCATATCTGATCATTGACATCTGATCAATGTCATCCGATCAATGACATCTGATCATTTTATATACATTTAATACTTTTACATAGAGTACTGTCTGACACAATGACTATTTCTTCTTTGTAATCTCAGTGATTATAACATGTTTCTATGTCTTTTGTCAAAATCTAAATGGGTTATACAGAGATTAAGAACTATTTTGTTCATCTCATTTCTTCCATTGCATCTATGCCCACATTTCTGTAAGTAGTAACAAATGAACCACACAAAGAATATACAGATCCTTTATGCAAGAAATTTTTCTAAGTCCCGAGAATATAGCAAATAAACAAAATGGACAATGCCCCTACTCATTCAGCTGATTTGACTAAAAGTCAAATTATTTTGTTTTTTGTCTTTTTCATTTTTATCAGTACCTGGGATGGAACTTACGACCGCTTGCTTGCAAGGCAGGTGCTTATGCCGCTGAGCTAAACCCCCAGCCCCCAAATTATCTCTTAATATGCTGTGTAAAAATGCAGAGAGGTACACTGCACTGAGTCAAAAATTAAGATTGGGAGTAAATTTTGTTAAAGTATCACAGAAGATGTAGAAATTGATCTGGACATTGAAGGATAAATTGGAATTCACAACCTTAGAGGGAGACAAAATTCATTCCAGGGTCAAAGGACTTCATATGCAGCAAGCACGAAGAAATAAAAGAATAGTGTGGGAATGGTGAAATGTCTTGCTTTAGAATGTTGTCAGTCACTTCATTAATGTAAACATTTCCAGATTTGTATTAGGTACAGTGAGTCTCAAACATATCTGAACGTTTCCCACCTGGGAACTTATTATTCAGAATGTAAATCTTTCTTCTTTGTTCTTGAGTGATGCCTGTGAGTATAATAACAGTATAACAAACTCAAAGTATTTATCAAAGGTGACCTTGAAACACATTTATTAAAGAGGTCAAAGAATTTCCAGTAAATTTCACCAAAACTTAACACAAATATAAACATTTGTCTCCTGCAGTATTAATTGGTTTCTTCTGTTTTCTCAACAAAAAATTAATTCTGTTTCATCCTTGATTTTAAACTGGCTTCTTGCCATTTTAATATCTACATGTAAGCTTGATAGTTAAGCACAAATTAATTTATGCAGATTTTGTCAACTCATTTAAAAAATTTAATGAAAATATAAAAATGGTATTCAAAATAGAACAAAAATATAAAGTATTAACATAGTAAGCAGTCCAATCATGAGTGTATTTTATTTTGCTGCTCTCAAAATTTCCCCTAGTGTATTATAATACAACCACACTATATAGGAATCAAAATATAAATAATCAAAAAAGCAAACTACTTTGTTATCTAGACTGGCAGGACTATACACATGACTTCAACTTTATTTACAATGGCTCATTATCCTACTCATAAAGATATCATTTATAATATGGTATAAAGGGAAATAGTGTCCCATTAGTGGGATTTGAGTCAATTT